GGAAGAGAGAATGAAGAACCGAAGGAAAGACCCACACACGAACGGTCCCAAGCTCCGGGAATCCCTTCTCAGCTCCTAAAACACGTCCAATGTGCGAATGAGGAAGAAGCCCTCAAAAATTTCTTCAAATACGAGCTTGGGGAGTCAGATTAGGGTTACGCGCCCGGCGCATTAGTCTTTGCACTCGGTGCAGGGCCTTCTAGGAAGGTCAAGTATGCTCTGCCTCAGGACACGCCCGACACAATTCCTTTTACGCTCGGCAAAATGCCTTCCAGAGAGTTTGAGGTACTCTCTGTCTCGATCACGCCCGACGAGGGTAGTCTCGCGCCCGGCGCAGCTATGACTTGTAGAGGTCAGACACTCTGTTTTGATCAAGCCCGGCGCGGGTAATCTTGCGCCCGACGCAATCACTCTTCTCTGCTCCTTAGCTCCTTAGATTTCCAATCCTATGGATCTTCTCTCCTCAATTCTCTAGCTCAATACCTGCACAAAAAATGAGGTGTATTAAGGTATTGTTAGCTAAATTCTGGGTTAGCTATATCTGCACAAAAAATGAATCAAAAAGAGAACAATTATCATGCAATGGTGCAAAGAATGAGTGGAATTGTTCAATAAATCTTGTCCAAAAAGAATATAATTGAGACTTAACAATATGCAATTAAGCATATCCAGGAATGCACTATACATGGTGTAGTTATGCATATTTACTCGTTATTCTTATTACCATAAGTTTTTTTATTATATTTATTCTCTTCCTTTTATCTATGTAATTTGGACAAATTATTGTTATAAATAGAATTAGTCTTCTCAAATTAAAAACTGACAACAGTATTATATAATCCTGTCACACTGCTTGGCTAATATTAATGGATTATTTCCAACTTTCAAGGATTAGGCCCTCTATTAATTATACACTGCCTTTATCTATGTATCCTCTGGCACAGTGATTAGCTAATACAGTACTCCACCATATATTAACAATGGATAGTTCCAAGTACTCCAATAAAAAATTATTACAAATAATTATTACAACAATCAACAAACTTAGGATTCATGACAATATATAATTATAAAGATGATAATATATAGTTACAGACGAATGATGCAACAAAAATCATGCTAGAGGAAAATTCAAGATGAAGTTTGATTATGCTAGAAGTTAGATTTATAATGTCATGAAATGTTTTGCACCCATAAAAAACTTTTATGGATTGAATTTTATTTCTGAATTATAGCTAAGGGATGCTCCATTTTATGCTAATTAAATTGTAAAAGAAAAAGGCTAGAATAAATATATACTGTACAATGGTCTCTTAAGCTAAGTACTTTCTTACATTTTTTAGTTTTGAGATTTTAGTTAAAGGAGAAAATTTATGATATGGCCCTATATCTTCCGTATCTTTCATTTTCCAATTCTCATTTTTTCCTCTAGGTATTAACTAACCATTCAATTTCCTCCTAAATTTTTTCCTCCAGGTATTATGCATTAGTCATCTATATATAAAATCCTCCTAGATTTTATATAAATTCAATTGAATGCTGCCAAATATTGTGCATAAAGACACGTTACTACAGAATGTGAGTGGGGATATTTGGGTCAAGTGAGCTAAAAAATTATAATCTTCAGCTATTATATATTTTTTTCGTTACAACCTTCAGCTACTATATACTACTATCTAATGGTACTTGATATAACTTAGATATTTTGCTGACTTCTAGTACTCTACATCTATTTTGAAATGATTTTGAAAATTCAGTTGTAAATTTAGTCATCTATATTTAAAATTATATTATATAAATTCAATTAAAAGATCACTAACTGATAAGCTGAAATAGATGAGTAGGTCAGTAAAGAAATAGAATATACTAAACATGAAAGTTAAATCAGTCATAGAAGCATCCACCTACCTTCAAGTTTGTTTTTAATTGATAGCATTAAGTTGACTGCGGATATTGTTATACTTCGAAACACGAACCTGCCATGAAAGATAATTTCAAGACTCAAACAGAAAATTTATCTATAACAGAGGTCACCAAAACAGTTGTGTCAGTATGAGTGATCCATTACTATAACAAAACTATTAGACTGAGAGCAAGTCCTTTAATATGGTTATTAAATAATATATAATAGAAGATGTGTCCAGTATTGTAAAATTCCTAGCCACAAAAATTTTAAGTGGACCAAAAATTATGTTGACTTTAACTCTCGAAAATTAAATGTTCTCACAACTGATTTTGTAATCAACATGTATAAATGTACCAAAAAAGCAGGCACATCATCAACATTTATATAGGAATAAGTTTGAGGCATATATTAGTTTTTCTTAACAATTATGCGTAACCAATATCTTGACACTCAAGCCTTTGGATATTGTCTTTGAACATGAAATTAACCACCCCTATAGAGCCTGTAATCCAGTGTTACTTGTTTCTTTCATTATAGGAGTTGAGTGATAAATATAATGCAGGAACCAACAAAGAAAATGAGGCTAGGCATAAATGAATAATGAAAATTGAGGGATATTTAATAATTAAGATGGAGCTACAGAGTAATATATAAGAATATATAATGAAGATATAATTGGAACCAGCTAGAGAAACAAATGATAAGGGCAGTAGGAGTAAAGAGGATGGTACATAGGATGACGAAGAGAGAGCTAAGTGAGTAAAGGGAGACATAACAACAATAGTATGACAACACTGGGTGCTCTGTACACTACCAACAACTTGTCTATTTCTTTCTTTGAAATGTCCCTTTTGAACCAAATATTAATTGCACCTTTGTTACTTTTCCATGAAGAATCTCAAATAAAAGCTCACACGTGTAATATTTTCCTAGCCATCCCTCTAATCTAATTATCATCATTAGCTTTAGTTAACTGCACTCTAAGTAGCACTGCTCCATTAGTAATAACAATAATAAAGGTCATAATAGATAACTAGCACTCTAATCTAAGTCACACAATATAAAGAATCAAAAATAGAGGTCATCAAGGAACATGTTAGCATGAGATCAACAAAGTCTATCTATCTATCTATGTTTGCAAGATAGAACAGATAGACAAATGTGAATCATTTATCATTTACATGATGATGAACCATTTCCACAAGTGTGGGATTGACAGGTTCAATCTTTTTCCATTTTTTTTGTCTTGCACAACTACAATTAAATTCCAAGGAACCCTAAACAAAACATACAATTGATTAAATTGCATGTTCCTCTTGGATTCAACCGATTTAAGTGAGGGGTTCACTACTAGGGAGAAAAATAGAGGAATCTTAAAATATTAATATATCAATCGATAATTGAAATCCCTCACTTATTCTTATAATTTGAACCTTGGCCCTTCCAATTTAAAAGATCCAAAATTATTCAACTTCGATATCAATTTTGAATATTCACATGTATCATCCCTCCTCTCCTCCCTCCAAGCCAAAACATAAATAGATAAACAAAAAAAAAAAACTAGTCTACACTAACTGAATTATGAACTCCACCTCACTTATAACACATCACTAACTAGGTAACATAACAAACCAAACTCCAAAACTCTCAGTAGACATAATGTGAGAAAACAATTTCTAAAACTTGCTAGTCCCCATCTCACTATAAAGGAACGATGTTGCGCACAATAAAGGCTACAAATGCCCGCAACTTCGTAGCTCCCACTTTACTGCAATATTGTGATTTAACATTTTCTTTTATTAGCTTATCATTAAAGATAAAACCCATCCCCAAAACCTTTCTCTACACACTATTCCACTACCCACACTTGTATTCGGTGGGATATTAGGGTTTAGGAACAAATAAGACCACTTAATATAGAACGAATCTAAAGAAAAGACGAAAAATAGGATTTTTAGCAAAAAAGGAAACCATACTTCAATATAGCACGCGTTGCATTTTCCATTTGAGATGATCGAAGCCCTAAGCATGAACTTGTGCGCGTGGCTGAGATAGAATGAGAAATGTGCGAATGAGAAGAAGGTAAATTGCGCGCACTTTAGATAATATGAGAAGAAAGGTTTTATTTTTTTGAAGGTCTTTTGAATTCGTATTTTTAATTCGGCTTCAATTTTTCATTCCTACCTCACAAATTAGTACATATTTATTAACCTTTTAAGTCACAATAAAAAAAAGTGTGGTCTTAGGAGTTTATGGTCAAGTACCTATGATTTTATCAACATTTCATAATATAAATAAGTCATAAATCATATAAGCCATATATATTTAACTGCGATCTATTATATCTATGATTAAAAGTTTGTGGTCTATTTTATATCTACAGTTTTAAAAATATGTCAAACAAAAGGTATCTACTTGTGACCTCCAAGAAAGCTCTTTTGACCTAGTGACCTCCGGCCAGTCAAACCTCTGGTTCTTGTTGGCACAAGGCTGTGCATGGTGTTTCCCTAACACCTCCATAGCCTAGTAGGAGACTTGACCCACGTTAACCACTCAAAGAGAACCATAAACGCATGATGTGAAAGGATTAATGTTGGCCACTAGTCGCGCTCATGATGGACCAATTTGCATGCATGTGGAAATGCCTTTCCACGTCCAGCCCCAGCCACGTGCATTCGAAACCTACGAAACCTACCTTCGCCCAAATAGTTTCAGATGCTAAGCCCCCCGTAGTCAATGCTAATCTACCAAAACCTTGCTGGAAGGGTGATTCTTGGGCAGTGAAAATTCTGGAGGAGGATTATCAAGCCAATCTTGCAAAATGCAAAGGACAAACCCCCTATCCAAAGGACAAACCCCCTATAAAATTGAAGAACTGAGGCAAAAGCTTACACACATGTGGAGTCAGATTGCTGGATGGAAAATTGTATCATTGGGGAGAGGCTTCTTTGAATTCTCCTTCGCTAATAAGGAAGACATCAACACCGTTCTTGCTCCAAAATCCTGGTTGCTAAACCCTGGGATATTGAGGCTTTTCTTGTGGAAACCAAACTTTAACCCAAGATTCCAGCAGAATTCCCTTGCACAGGTTTGAATGAGAATTTCAAACCTTCCCACGGAGTACTGGGCGCCCAGAATTCTCCAATCCATTGCAGCAGGAGCTGGGGAACCAATCTTGATTGACGCTGCCACTTTGAATCATGCTTATGGACATTTTGCTCGAGTTCTTGTGGAACTCGACATGAATGAGCCCCCTCCGCAGCACATCCTTGTAGAAAGGGAGGGATATGCTTTTAACGTGAATATAGTCTATGAAAATTTGCTTGAATTTTGTTTCACATGTCACAATATTGGTCATAATGTGTCCACTTGCAGGAACCGTAAGAAGTCCAACATGGATGCTGAACCTGAAGAACTGCGAACAAAACTCAATAGGAAACGTGAATGGCAACGAGTTTCTAAAAAATCAGCCTCTGACCCGAACATAAATAAGGCTGAACTGACCAAAAATGATGCAACAAATCCTACTGTTGTAGATTTCGGACCTACCTTGAATGAGGACAATGACGACCTCATGATGGAGGAGGAAGCGGAGATGGATGCAGCTACCAACAAGTATAATGGAACTGGTCCAGCAAGATCTCCGCGGAACCCAGAAGACGATAGCACTGATTCAGAATTAGGCTCAGAACCAGAAACTCTAGCATCTAATATGCCATTCCAGCAACACCGTATAAGTCATCATAACTCAGTGGATAATATCCATGATTTAACTGTGCAGGTGAAGTAGCAAAATTGCTCGGATACCATGGCTCAGACAGATGAAGACAACCAGCAAGATTCTAGTTTGATAGCTATGCGAAGACCGGACCAAGGAGATGGATCCCCTAAGGACTTACTAGACGGAATGCCAGCCTTGGAGGAGGATGTTGGCGAAACTGTCCAACTAGTCTAGATTTAGAAGTCTTGGCTGCAGCTACTGCCCATGATCCTCAGCCAGCTAGTAGCAAACAATCCAAAAAGAAGAAATCTGGATCTAATGCTAAGCCAACCGTCAAAACATGATCAAAGAATGCTAAATCTAATAAATAGCATAATTGTCAGACTTTACATGACCATGTTAAATAATTTTACAATGGCTAACGGATCTTATATTTGTTGGTGGCAGCCAAGTTCACTAAGAATCCAGCAACTGACTGGTGATCCAGGCAAAATGGATGCATTGGCCCCATCAGCTTTGGTCTATCCACTTCTCTTTTTTAAGATCATATTTTTTGCATTATACTTGTTGGCGTTGCTTTTGTTAGCATTATACTATATAGCATATCATTTCGTTGACTTGCATAGTTGGAACCAAGCATTACGTGGAACTCGGATACATGTATGCAGGCTGGCAGCACTTGCTGCAAAATTAACGGATGATTTCCAAGTGCAGCTCCCTTTATCTGTTATATTCAATACTTACTGCTCTCTATTGTGATTTTTGGTTACATAAAAGCAAATTGCAGCTCCATATATATAATTGGACGTGTTCTGGTGGTAGAAATATCCAGTCCCAACAATCGGATTTATGGCTAAGCGGCATGAATGAGAAGCAGTCCATGACCAACTCACTAGACAATCCGAACCTGGTTCATTCTTTCCTTTACTTGGCTGTTTTCGGTATAATTGCATTATGTTGCATAAAGACAATCCTAGCTATTGGTTGTACTGATGCAATTGTCATTATGCATTTCTGTTACATAGAGGCAGATTGCAACTTCTTTTTGGCTATATTAGGTGCAATTTACTTAGTGGCAATCTATTACATAAAAACAACTATAGGTTGCACTTACAGGTTACACAAATTATTATTCATATCTGATATACTTATATCAGACTATGGGCGGACAACCATCTTTCATTTTGCTCCTTATAGTTTAACACCCGTAAATTTAGTGAACGGAAGTGTAGGTACTGGGTATGCTCCATGCATGACTGATTATGAAATAATACTTATGCTATGAAGTTTCTGTTTTGGAATCTTCGAGGCATTGCCTCAAAGGAATCACAAGTCTCACTAAAATCACTATGCTTAACGAACAAACCAGACCTCATTTTCATTGCTGAACCTATGACGAATATCTCAAAAATTAAGCCATCCTTTTGGAAGGATATTGGGCTTACATTCTTTGCTGAAAATAAGAGTCTCCCTAAAAGCACAATTTGGTGCTTTTGCAACACCTCAATCAATCCTATACCTATTTCCTCCTCTGATCAGTTTGTCTCATTTTCATTTTCCTTTGGACCAAGCTCATACTTTGTCGCTGTGTGTTATGCCAACACTGATTATAGAAGACGAAGAAGCTTATAGAGTGATTTGGCTACCATTCAAAATAGTAACCCGGGAGCATGGATGTGTTTAGGTGATTTCAATGAAATCGTAAGCCACGATGAATATAGGGGCAATGGTCACCCCTATTCAGCCTCTATGAATGATCTTGCGGCATTTAAGGACTCTTGTCTGCTCCATGATATCACATGTGCTGGCCCCAAATTCACATGGACTAACAATCGCTCTGGACAAGCTAGGACAGACAAAAAACTAGATAGATTCATGTGCAATGACCAATTCATCTCTAGTTGGACGAGACTTTCTGGTCTGGTATTACCTAGAGTAAGATCAGATCATCACCCAATTATGTTGAGTGTGAATAATTTGACAAAGCCCCAAGCCTCTAGGTTCAAATTTCTATCCATGTGGTTGCAACACCCTGATTGTAGGAACATTGTGGCGACAGCCTGGACCACTAGGGTCCTTGGCAAACTTATGCAAATCCTCTCACAAAAACTCAAAATAATAAAAGGCGCTCTTCGAACATGGAACAAGAATACATTTGGAAATGTGCATGAATAAGTAAATTCCTTATCAACCAAACTTGCAGAAATTCAAGAACAGATTGCAAGATCTGGTTATTCTGACTCATTGAGCAAGCAAGAACAGAAGGCTATGCTTGAACTGGAAACTGCCCAATCATATGAGGCGTCCTTTTGGCAACAAAAGGCAAGAATCCAATGGTTAACTGACAGTGATCGCAACACTAAGTTTTTCTACAGAAAATTCCGGCTAAGGTCTGCCATCAATAACATTTCCTATATAAAAAAGGGCACCCTACTCCTGGAAAACCCTGAGGATATTAAAAATCACATTGTAGATCACTTCCAATCTATTTTCTCAAAATCTGAACTGGTCCAAGATTGTAAGAATTTTCTAAGAACCATCCCCAACACTATATCACCCTCTGATAATCTGCAACTCACTCGTCTGCCCTCTTTAGAGGAGGTAAAATCTGGGGTTTTTGACCTCTCCCCGAATAGCTCCCCTGGCCCTCATGGATTTCCTGGATCATTCTTTCAAAATTTCTGGGATATCATTTGTTTGGATGTCCATAAAGCTGTACTGGAATTTTTTCAACATGGATCAATGAGCCCAAACTATAACTCTTCACATATTGTACTAATCCCTAAAGAGCCTGGTCCGGATGAGATTGGCAACTTCCGCCCTATAGCCTTATCCAATTTTAAGTAGAAAATCATCTCAAAGGTCCTTTCGAAAAGAATTGAATCTGTCATTGAGAAAGTTGTATCCACCCATCAAAGAGGTTTCATGCATTACAGATCGCTAGGAGGCACGGTTGGATGTCCCTATGGTTAGAGACAGATTCATTGCTGTGACACCCTCTACCTTAATGTTAATACACAATAAATGTAAACAATAATTTCTTTTTCTATTTGAGTAAATAAAATCTTTCATAGTTTAATAACATCTTTCATGTATAAAACAATTGTTTCAAATCTCATAAGTGTCGCCACCGGCCCGAAACGGGCTTTCGGCATTCGCGAAGGATGGTTGGACTCGTTATTTGTTTTAAAAATATGGATTGCTAGAATGACTTATTCTCAAACTGAGACCTCGTCAAACGAGCAATTTTATTAAAAGGCTCACCAATCCATATTAATCCCAAGCGGGACCCTCCATGGATTAGTGGTTTTCGTAAAAGGAGGGTTCGTGGAGTCGCCACCAATGTTTTACTCAAAACATTGGAAAAAGGGATAAGGCAATTGATTTTATAAATCAACTTTGGCCATTACAACCAGAGTCGGGTAAGGGAGTCGGTTACGCGTGGGGAAGGTGTTAGCACCCCACAGCGCCCCTTTCGGGTTCCCTATGACAGATTATTT